CATTTTCTTCATGTATTTAATGCTTATAATTAATTTAATTTGTTCTTCTTGTAAGAAATTAGATTAGTTGAAAATTGTTCAAACAACTAAAATATTAGAAATGATTGAAATTGATGAGTTAGAGCTTAGTAAAAGATTGAATCAAGTTGGATATGCGTGTAGAAGATACATATTAGGATTCACGTTTGAGTTATTTGCAGGAGTTAGTTAAAATGTATGATGTCACAGATGTTATTTTAGAAGAGATTATTAAGGAAGTAATTCTAACTCTGAAGTGAAAGATTAAACCAAGCATTAGAATTTCTAACTCTGAAGCTCAAAGATGCTCTAGCCATAAAAAAGTGCGGCAATTACATACAGACCGCCTGAAACTTGTTATTTATAAATTAATCATGCTCTTTTATCCATTTTCAGGTTCTCACTCAAATATCAAAATTCATAGTAAGACCCCAGCCCATAATTTATATTTTTATCATATTCTTGATGGTTTAATCGTGACATGCGTAAAAACATTAGTTTGGTAGTTCAAAAAATTCACATTGGCAGTTAATTTTTAAGTATCAATGTTTTATGTGCTAAGTATGTAATTATCCAAAAAAATTATTATTACAAAGAGTGTCAATATAAAGTTAATATTTTTAAGCCATTTTAGAAACACAATTATAAGAGATGAATAATAGATTTAAAGAATATATTATAGAATTGTTGATTATAAGTTTTTGTATTAAATCTTCAAAATATATATGATTATTCAAAATGAATGATATTTGCCAAACTTGCAAATATCATTTTATCATAAAGATTTTATAGCTATAAAAAGCTACACTTAACAATCCAACTAAAGCATTTTAAAGTAGAAGCTAAGCATTATCAAAATGTTTATAATCTCTCTACATTTATGTCAAACTATGGCAATAACATCAGTTATGTATAATGTTATTGATCATTTTATTAGATTAATTTTGATATTTTTTTATTTCAATAAAAATAATCGGGTTTACAATTTCAACTATGAAGATTAACAAGTCAATGTTACGGGATTGACTGACAGATAATTTTCTTGTGATTTTTTTTCATATATATTAAACTGATACTAAAATGAGTTTTGATGAGACCGACTGAAAGATGATTTTCTTGTGATTTTTTTTATCATATATATTAAACTGATACTAAAATGAGTTTTGATGCAGAATTAGCGATTGGTGAATTCAATGTAAAGAAGAATGTCAAATATAATTTAAGATGTGTATTCTTAATGACCAGATTAAAAATGGTATTTTTTTACTTTATAAGTTATTTATAACTTTTTTTTAATTTCGTCTTATTTATTTATTTATTTTATTCTAAAAATTATTATTAAATTTTATTTTATTTTTTATTTTGCTAGTATCTACTAAAAATGTATTTTCAACTATGAAGTTTAATAATAAAACATTATAAAATAAAACACAAGATGATTTTATTATGAGTTCAATGATAACATATATTTAAGAGAATATTAAAATAAATTTCAATATAAAATTAATGACAGACGATTTTGATAAAATAAAAAAATACCGCGCATAAATTTAAGATATATATTCCTAATTAATAGATTAAAAGGGATGTTTATTTTATTTTGTAAGTTATTTTTAATTTTTTTTTGTTTTATTTTATTTTATTTTATTTATTTTATTTATTTCATTTATTGAAATATTTAAAATTTAATTTTGATCGATTTTAATTGATTTTTTATTTTTTCTCTTTTGCTCTTTCTTTTAAAATTTTGGTTTTGTCATTATCTACATATTCTTAATATGAATACCATATTCATGAGTAGGAGAGTTATGTTTATGTCAATTATATTGTCTACATCATATGGAATTATCTCATTTTTATGACAATAAATCTCCACCTTTTTTGTGAAACATCCCTAATTAATGAAATTCTCAATTCTTGATAATACATCAAAAATAGAGTATAAATATATTTTGCTTAAACATTCAAAAAACTCTGCTTGCAAATTTAGGGTCTGTTTGGGACAGCTGCTTATTGAATAATCTACTGATAAGCTGATTAAAAATAATTTGCAATAAGTACGGTGGCTATTACAAAATTTTTTTTTTGAAAAAGTCAGACCTGTCATCGCATCTAGATAGGTGCGGTGTGAAAACGCTGTTTTCTTCGAAAAAGCTGTCGCCGCATCTAGATAGGTGCGGTGTGAATCAAAACACATAAGCTGCCAAAACGCAGTTTACCCAAACAGGTCAGGCGAGTTTTCAAAAAGTTTTTAAAAGGCCACCGCACCAAATAAACTGCCCCAAACAGACCCTAGTTTTCAAAACGCCACCGCACCAAATAAGTTACCCTTAATCTAGTCAATTTTTTAATTAATCAATACAAAAGTATTGATATAAGAAAACAAGTTAATTTCTTAATTAATCAATACAAAAGTATTGATATAAGAAAAAATTACTGGATGGGTCTATAATAATATCTAATAAAATCATGAAAACTTTGAATCTCTTTAACATTGGAAGTTCAATTCAAATTTATTAAAAGTTAAATCCTCTAAATGCATGTTGATGTGTTAGAGCATTCAACTACTTGTTCAAGCCATGTTTTATTCTTTTATCAACTTATTATAAAGTTTATGATCTTTAAATTTTAAATATGATTCAAAATATTCATAAAAATTATTTGAGCAATAAACAGCATGAATGGCATAAATATAAAATTTATACAATAAAAATTTAGTTTGAAAATGTTTCTTAAGAATATATTC